AAAAGTTAGTGCGAAGTGGGCGTGGATCTGCCTTGTACCCAGGCTGGCGCTACTTACTTTCGACGGTAGTAGCAACCCAAGAGTCATGGGAGATTTTAAAGCAGAAGAGACCACAAAGGACAGGGAATTCAATTTAACGTTTCTGTATTTGCCTGACAATAACGAACACGAAATTTTATTTCGATAATGTTACTGCTCGATTGGGCGCAAAAATGTCTGTTTACTAGACGGAGCCCTGCGAACACTATACCAATTTCCTCCAGTGCGCACCCCCCCCCCCTGAGTTGACCTGCGGTTTTCTAATACAACTGGTATTCTGCAAAAAAAAATGTGGTTTATTGGTGTTGAAGTAGAGCAAGAGACGAGTGCACTCCCTCCTGAAAAAAATCCTGGATCCGCCCCTGAGTGGGGGGAGGTGGGGGGGAGGGGGGGGGAAGTGCAAACCCAGCCTAATTTTTTCAGGTTCCACTTCAGCTAGCCTCCCACTTAGACGTTCCTTAAGGGCTTCCTCATGTCACTCCGCACGCGATGCGTTCACAGAAGTTCGCCTCAAATCCCTTCATCAGTCGGGGGGAAAAAGCGCCACTTTGCATCCCATTTTTCCCTCTCCAAAAAATCAAAGGCAAATCCCAGTGTTTTAAGTCCTTACAGCTCAGGAGGATTGATTCTTGAGTCACGCCTATGCCGTAAGTAGGCATCGAAAAATCGCTTCATCTCCTTTTGTTACATCGTCGATACTGAAAACAAAGTTTTATTAAAATACCATTGTATTCAGGGTCCCTGCCTAGGCATGCACACTCAGAAGGAAGCTTATTTATTAAATTCCTAATGGGCATACAAGTATATTAAACCGCCAGGACCACTAAACGCACGGCCGCGCAAGGGAACTCAGCTCCTAAGAAATCAATTACTGTTTGGCTACAGAACTAAATTGCTAGATTTTGTAAATAAGAATAATTTTAAAATTATAAGACTGAAGTTATAAAGACGGATTTAAATGTTTGATTCCGGGGGGGCGGGTACTTGGGTTAATGTTTGCTAGGTATGTGCCGCATTAGAGTCTATTTTTTCTGCCAGTTATAGACCCCATCTTAGTCACTCTTTGGAAAATGTAATTTTCGCGATCCCAAGTTAGTCACTTTCTATTTATGCATCTACCTTATCAATGAAGTTTCAAGCGGCGGAATGTAATGCGGTCAATGCGAGCTTATTGTTAAATTTAATAAAAAAAAACTTTCTGATTTTTTACCTGAGAATCTTCCCATTTTGAATCCCTTTATACTTACTCCAAAAATCCGAAATGTGCCACCCCATTTTAGTAAATCTATTGAAAATGCAACCCCATTATAGTCAATCGAGTCGTGAAAATGCGACCCTATCCAGCGAAACTTCCATATTAGCCTCTTGTAGGGGAGTACCTCTCCCTCCGGGGGTTTGATTCAATATGCTTATTGATGAATCATGATTAATCAGTTTGGTGATTGATTGATTGATTGATTGATTGATTGATTGATTGATTGATTGATTGATTGATTGAGTTGCCCGTACGACGTCTGGTTATATTCTATACAGTCAGTAGTATTGCTGATTGATCTATCTGTGATTGATTGTCTGTTTCACACATACTTTAAGCTCTCAATTATTTGTTTGTTTTTATCAGTATTAAGATTCGATTGAGCTGGCCATTTCATAAAAGCAAAATTAAAACAAAGGTATTAGCCAAAACAATATTCACAGTGGATCGTTATTAAACAAAAGTGACAACTGAAAAACGTTATGAGATCTGACAATAGTCACATTCACCAAAAGAGGACACTGTACCTCCGCAAACTACATGAAGTGCATGTAACTGGTGATATTTTGTATAGCTAAGATAAAAATGCCTTTCACTTTAATTTCGCTAAATTTAATAAATGAAATCAAGCCTAAGTAATATTATCACGGAGAGTGTGTGAATTATTGAACTGAAAGGCACCCTTTGTTAGTCTACCGTAAGTGTGATGGACAGGCAGGCGATTTCTACAACTAAGTGAAAGAAATCAGCGCCGGCGGATACACACGAATGTACAAACATAGCAGGAAAATTCGCAAGTTAAAAAAAAATGTATTCATCGGATACAAGATGCATCACGATCGCGTGGGGCAATTCTTATCCTGCTGGATAGTGTGGTAGAAGATCATATTGACAATGTCTAGCAAGATCTGGTATAAAACTATGAAGCCGGTCTAATCCTATGGTTTATAAGTGGCGATTCTACGGTTTATCGTATAAATACCTTTTAAGCTGGTCGATCTCTTCAGTAGATTTCTACGGTTCCGAATGCGGCTCACTGAATTACACCAAGACTTGCTTCTTTTTAGCTCAAAGTTTTTCAGTTTACTCACGGTAGAGCCCAAAATCTTCGATGGACTTTTTGATTCGCCACTAATAACTGTCCTGTTTGGCACATAATTTGTAGCCGAGTTTTCTCTTTTTCCACTCCACATCGTTCATCAAATATCTGTCCGTGGAGCTCATAAGGTTAGATTGATAGGTTTAGCTACAGCTTTCATGAACGGCAGAAGTTATCTCGAACTTGCGAGTAAACAAACTCCATATTAAGCATGGACGCGTTAATAAATACCACTGATATCTTATGGCATGTTTTGGAAGTCCCATGGGGTAACAAAATTGTCTTCTAAACGATGCCTTTTGTGTTTCATACACATGCTAGGCGCATAAAAAAATTCTATTATAAATTCTTAATTGTGTTTATGTATCATTATTTAATAAGTCAATTATCTGGAATAGTAACGGTGAATTTAAATTTTCACCAAGATGAGATAAAAAATTTACTTGTTAATTTTACTTGTTAGGCAGAGTCAGTACTCATGGAGCTTTTGTTATCTGTATACGTAAATAATTCTCGGGATAAAGGCGTTATCTGTTTCTGATACTAAGTAAATAAACTGCCTCAAAAAATCCATGATAACGAAGGGGACTAGACAATACTAGCACGAAAGAGCATACGCCTTCCACAGTTTTTAAAAAAATAAGAAGTTTAAGACAGAAGCTACACTCCTGCGAGGAATTTCTCGAGGGGAGGGGTGCGGAAAACCAAGTGCACCTCATTCTTTTCCCTCGCCCCAACCCTGCCCGTTGCTTAGGTGGAATCCGGAATTAATGTTCTCTCCGATCTGTCGCTGGCTGAGGGTACACTAGCCTGCGTGGCAGACGTTCGAAAGGGAAGCGGAAGAGACTTCTGGCACGAGATCGCGTGCGAGGGAGAACCCTCACCCTCGCGCGCCTTTAGCGTTTCTCAGGCACCCCAAATCCCTTTCCCCTTTCCTTTCAAACGCCTGCCACGCAATATACCATGAGTAGTCCCCATTTTTTCTCAGGGATAGTAGAGCGAGTGACACGCGAGCGCGCGTAAAAATCACCCCACGGTTCTCGCGTGGGGTGATTTTCACGCGCGCTCGCGTTTCACTCGCTCTACTATCCCTGAGGAAAATGGGGACTACTTGTAGTCTAGCCACGCAAGCTTTGGAGGGCCTGATACTCAGGTTACATCCCCATTGCATCCTAATCGACAGCAGCTCAAACTTACCACTGGCCTGTTCCAGGCATTCTAAATGTAGGGAGGGTGCAAGGAGATGTGTCAAGGACAGTAAACACCAAAGAGAATCTGCTTTATCTTAAAAGGGTTTTCACTTTTGTTTATTGTTTGTCTCACCATATATAATTGTGTACATAATTGTGTATGTATAAGCACTGTGGAAGTCATGGGTGACAAAAGTGATGATAACAAAGGAACTAAAGATGACGCGTTATGATGGTGATGACACGTTATGATAGTGATGATGCGTTATGATAGTGATGAGGAGTTATGATGGTGGCGACGTATTATGAGTGATGACGCGTTATGATAGTGATGAGTTATGATGGTGATTACAAATTATGATGACGCGTTACGATATTGATGACGCGTTATGATAGTGATGATGCGTTATGATAGTGATGATACGTTATGATAGTGATGAGGAGTTATGATGGTGATTACACGTTATGATGGTCACGACGCATTATGATAGTGATGAGGCGTTATGATAGTGATGAGGCGTTATGATGGTGATTACAAATTATGATGGTGACGACGCATTACGATAATGATGACGCGTTATAATGGTGATGACGCGTTATGATAGTGATCACGCGTTATGATGGTGACCAGTGGAACATGTACACGTGGATGGGTCGCAGATGGAAGGTGCACTTCCTACCAGTAGCCTGCGAGCAAGCTCCCCTTTGGTAACATGGGGGTCAGAGACTAAAAACAATTTGAAGGAGTCACGAGAAGTCACACAAAAGCAGCACACGAAAGGAGACGCGAGTGCCCCTCGCAGATTGCTTTGCTCGCCATAAATGAAGAGCTTGCTTGCAGTCTTCGCTAGCAGCCAGTAGTATATAGCACACGAGCAAGCTTTTGAGGGAGGGGAGTACCGGAAAACTCTCCCTCCTCCACTGCCGTCCCCGAGAGTTGATCTGCGATCAAACTCTTAGGGGGCTGGGAGTAGGGAAAACCCTCCCTCTCCAGCCTACACCCCCAAGAATTGATCTGCGTTCAAATTATTTTGGGAGGAGAAGGGGGTGGGAGAAGGGAAAAACTCTCCTTCCCCTACCCCCGCTGCAGGTTGAGTGGTATTAAAACTATTATAACTACTTTTATAACAAACTTTGCTCAACTAAATTTTGACATAAATGTTAGAACTCTGACAGTATAACTATAAAAAGGATTTTGAACAATGGTCTCGGAGAAAACAGCTTCTTTAGAACTATAATAATAGCGTTTACCTGCTTCAATACGTTATAACTGTTTCATGGGAGATCCTGGAAAGATTAAAACTTTGTACAGCTTTCTTTCTCGTAAATATTTCTTAATTTTACAACTACTACATGTACCAATAGTTCTTTCTGACTTTGTAGTGTTACTTCTTTATGAGCAAAACTTTAGATTTACGGATAGCTAAGACCAATGCAACATTAACACACAACAGTCTCCAAGCGACAGCCTAGAATAACTTCTAAAGATGTCCTTTGAGTTCATCTATTAAATCGTCTACACTAACTTTGTCATCTGTTGTTAAACAACTTCTTAACGTCTTTTCAATCAGTTCAGCAGAGAATCCCAGCTGGTTCACGAGATTGTAGTTGTTTAGCAAGCGATGGGTTTCATCCACATCAATAAGACCTATAAAATAGCAAAGCCTTAGAAATATAGAAGGAGATATGAATGTGCACTGAGGAATAGAGGGGATCTATTTAAGAAATAGACAACAATATTATTTTCCAAGGCCTTTACTTGATAGACAGCAGAACTGACATCAAAATGTTCAAAACTCAAGTGGATCAAGTGGTTTTACAATAGCCATTTTTATGGTCTTAAGCAAGACTATAGAAAAGTGTTTTCTATTTGTTGGTGACCACGGAAACATTGGTGTTCAAAGAAGCCGAAGTTCGCCACCAAGTAAGGGCTGCAACACACTTTAGCCAATAAAGGCCAATAATAAATGGAAACCATTTGCACTATGTGCACGTGCAGCAGTTCTAAGATTCTAATGAACAGAGATATTGACTTCAAATAATATACATGCACTTTGTCAACAAGTGTGAAACCATGTTTTCTACAGAGCGATTTAAGGTTTCCAGATGCAATTGAATCAAGTGCTTACTGTACAGTGTACTTGAAACTAACTACGTGTCTAGTGTGAAGTCAACAAAAATTGGATCCTAAAAGATCAATGAGCTGTATTAGAATCACGACACTAACCTGACTGATCAGAATCACACACATAAAGTGCATTTGCCAGCTTCATAAACCTCTTGACTTTACTTTCCTCCTCGTGGTAATGCGGTGGATCATAATCCCGATCATCTCCATACAATTTCTTTTTCTGGTGCTGTATGATCTGATCAATTTCTTCTTGCTCTTTTTGAATCTGTCGTTTTTTCTCGATCAGTTCATGCTGACGTCTTAACAGATCTCCTTGCCTCTCATTAACTGGTTCTGATACTTCAGCCTCTTGTGACCTTACATGGTCTCCATTTATACCACTCCCTTCAGGATCGTGATGTTGTCTGTAGCTCCTTCCTCTTCTTTGTTCCTCTAATTCTTTCACTGTCAAAATACAAAATCCAGTCAAACCTCCTGTAAGTGCCCCACCCAAAATACAAACATTTGGTGATACCATCTGCAGCGTGCAAAGAAAGTAATGTCCGATAGCCCGGCACTAGTGGATTTTGCTATCGGGCTAGTGAATTCTATTTTTAACTTGCCCGATGGGCAATTGATGTTTTTTTGAGCAATTTGAGTAACAGAAGAACTGTGAAATCAATTCTGCTCGTCAAAAAGCTTTTGGGGCTAGTTGAAATGACATCTGGGCTAGTAAATGCTTGCTTCAGCTTGCCCAAATGGCAAGCTATAAAAATGATTTTCTTTTCACCCTGCATCTGAGAAGTGGTTGAGTTGAGTTGAGTTGAGTTTATTATTTCCCATAATATTATACAGTACATACGGTGTGTTACAATGTAATGAACTTGGGAGGAAGACTAAAGAAACCCTTACGGGCTTTTACAAGTAGTCTCCCTGAAGGTAACAAAAGATCTATTGAAATTCATTGAAATGGTATCAGTGAAATAGATTATAATTAACGGACAGAGATACAATAATTGATCTCACACATATATTACAAATACTTCACTCTGTACTGAGTACTTATTTACAGTACTATCACTACATGGGATAGGAGAAAGGGTTGAAAGATCTACTTGAATTACTGAAATCGAGTCGGTGAAATAGGTAATTAATAGAGAGACCAATAATTACAAAGAGAGACCAATAATTACAATACAAGAATCAAGCTGCAAGGAGTCTCTTATGACAAGAGATCTGGACCCATGTATTTTTTGGAAGGGAATTTCAGGGCTGTCACAAAGATTCCAGTCAGTTGTAGTGTTATAATGTTCTGTTGGTTCTATTTTTCACTTTGTTTCCTATGAAAGTAACTTGAGATTATTTGTAAGGCAGCCAGGGGATTAACCCTTTTCCTGCCTGAGTGCTTGAAGGAGTTTTGTAAGGTGACTCTAACTTTTGAGTCTGTGGACGAAATCCATGATGTGACCATTCAAATGAAAGCTCTCTGCCTGTACTTACACATGATGCTATTTGTTTTTCAAAATATCAAAAAATGAAATTTGGTAATTTGGTCGAAATTTGCTTTTGGGTACATTTGGCAGTAGACTATGAATAGTCCCCCATTTTTCCTCAGGGATAGTAGGGTGAGCGAAACGCGAGCGCACATGAAAATCACCCCACGCGAGAATTCTCTCTCCCTGCCGCGTGTCGCCTTTTATGGTGTGGGGTGATTTTCACGCGCGCTCGCGTTTCACTCGCCCTACTATCCCTGAGAAAAAATGGGGGACTACTCGTAGTCTAATTTGGCAGTGAAAGAGTTAAATACCCAGCCCCTGGCCCTTGGTGACAGCCTTAGCATTCATTGCGTCTAGATTCCAAGTTATGATATCCTTAGTTCCATGTTTAGCATTGAAAGTTCTTCATATCCTCTGAGCAGCCTAGAACAGACCATGCGTCACATTGGAATTTTTTTTTATTACAAACCATCAAGCCAAAAAGTGATTGTGGGTGTTTATGAGAAAGGTGGTCATTTTCTTGAGGTTACAACCCTTACTATATCATTAGGGCTTTGACTAGGAAAATTTTGTTGATTTGGATTGCTGGTCGCTTAGAGCGGTTTTCATTTGAGTGTCGAAAAGTAATTGGTTTTGCACTTTCTACACGATGCGATTGGCTTAAAAGATTCGCGCCACCTTTTCATCCAATCAGAAGTAAAACCAAAGCCAATTGTGACGCGCTCGCATGCATTTTCCCGCGCTTTGCGTCAGCCACATGTAATTACTTCGAGTTTTGATTGGTTCAATGTATTGTCTGTGTCCTATGTGATTGGCCAGAGTAATTACTTTGGTTTTGGTTTTACGACACTCAAACGAAAACCACTCTATACAATACCTAGAATGTGGTCACTTGTTATAATAAGTGGTGGTATATGAAAGTTTGAGATTATTAGAAAAAGTCTAAGAGCTTGTGATGTAGTACCTCTACATGCAGGCCACTTTGCATGTAACCTTACATTCATGAATCTCCAAAAGGAGTAAGCCCCTCACTCTTTTACCGTAATCAGCATGCTGGACAGTTGGAAGCTGAAATCCAGAGTAACCCCCCTGGGGGAGAAATCTAATACTGATTGTCATAGTAATACCTAGAATGTTATGTTGTTCTTGATCCATGCTTGTATCATAAGATGGGTACCTGCCTTCATGGCTGACTCCCTTAAGGGGCTGTCTTGTTTCCCACACTGGTCTGTCAGGGGGAGTTTCTAGAACACGCCCACCATTTCTACTGTAACTGTGGCTTGAAGAAATGCTGGATGTTGGAAGAGGCAGGGCTCGCTCCACAAAGGACATGAATTCTAACCAACTGAAATAAGTATATAATGTTTATTTCTTTGTTCATAATGTTGCTATAATGTCTCTCTCGGTGTATTAAAAAGATTACCGACTGTTAAACAGTTAGATCACCACTATGGAATTCATCAAGACGTCTCGTTCCTTGTCAGCTTCTAGGGCTGTAAGAATACACTGATGCGCAGTGTCTGGTCAGTGAACCACGATATTTCTTTTCAAGATAGGAATATCATGATAAAATAATTCAATGTATTTCTTACATCAGAAAATTTGTGAAATCACTGCCAAGTATTCCTGAAATAATTTGAGTGGAGGTGTGCAACATTCTCCCTAAAATCCTCTTACACTATCATAAATTTCCACTAACCTCACTTTTCCAGAGTTGTATCTGTCAAGTCTGTCGATGACCTTGTCTAACAATGAGTTGTTGAAAGGAATATGATGCCGCAAACATATTGTCTTTAGCTGAAAGGAAGGGTGAGGAACTATCATCAAACAAAAAATTTTATAGAAAAGGATGTAGAAACATCACAGTTGCGATAAAAATTTGCTTCATCCAATCAGAGGCACTTACCCAGATCTGGGTAGAGACGCAACTTCAGTATGGAATTTCTGCCTTTGTTTCTCAGAAGACATTTTGGGGGGAAACCATTGGTGGCGTCGCGAAATGCCGGCTTTTTTCTCACACTACAAGCCTTATGGCTCACAAAATTTTTCCATACAAAACCTATTTAATTTTTCAGACATTCAATGCACATCAGTCACCTCAAAATTGGCTCTCTACCTAATTTTCTCATGCTCTTTCCATTTCTGGTAATCTTGACGGTTTATCCAAATTTTTGAAAACTTTTGTTTCTCAGCAGATCAGGTGAACGTAAGCTGCAAAGGGCTTATTGAGAGTGTTAAATACCTTTTGTGAGGATATAAATTCTGCTCCTGCCCCATCTTGTTCCTCTAGATGTCTTCTCAATGCCTGTACATGTGCCTGGGCATGGTCAATCTCTTTTAGCATTTGTTCCATTTGCAATAAGATCTCTGTATCTTGCTTATCTTGAAAAGCTTTTCTTGCAGTTATAGCACTCTGGCGGCCTTTTGGCATATCATCAGACCTTGGTGATACCTGATTTGGTTTAAGTGGCAAGTTGACTTCAGCCCTAGGCGAATTGCCGGACATTCTCTGTTGGAGTCGATCACCTGGATTTGACGTCACATCAAGCTTTGGAACGTTAAACTCTCTTGTGACAGTTGGTTGAACAGCATTGTTGATGAACTTCAAAAGCTGTTCATAATTGACCCAATTTGGCCTGTGAGCAGACATGAAAATTACCAACAACTCATTTAAAAGCTCTCCTTTAAGAGGAATCTTTAGTCTAAAAAACTCTCTCTCGACTTGTTCCGCAGAAACAAATCCTGTCAAAGTGGAGTCATAACCTGCAAAACTGAGATACGCATCTTTTAGTTTTATAGTATCGAATCCCAGCAACACTGCATTAAGTCTTGAAGCCAAATCTCTGGTAGACTGATCCCCATCAACTCCTGATTTCTTTCGGATCGGTGGTAAAACTTGCGGCGAACTTGGAGATGAAAATTTTCTCAGGCCTTCCAGAGACTTACTTTGATGATCATCAGGATTTTCCAGTGATTTTAGAATTTTTCGTGGCGGTGTGTCAGTTCTGTTTATCCACGGAGGAGGCGAGATCATAGAGCTCGATTTCTCAGAGTTTGCTGTTGACAAAACCGAAGACCTTTGACCATACTGTTGTCCTGGAAGGCTCCATTCTGCCCGATTAACAGTTTTTGACTGATTAAGTGGCTTTCCATGATTGTCAACTGGAACTTCGACATGCTTTCCACCAACAATTTTCACCTCAAGATGCGGTTGATCATCTCGTCCAAAAGGCGCAAGACCTGCCATTTTGAATGTTTTCATCTATTGTGTAGGAGCTTATCTCGATAAAAAGAGCTCTTCGCAGTTAAGGAAATGATATCTGGTACTTCCATTATGAATGACATATGAAGAGAAACCCAGAACTGTTTTTTCTTCTCGATAATTAACCTTAAGATGATTTAGAGATTAATATAATCAAATCCGCCGTATCACAAGCCCTATGTTGTTGCTAAGGTGTAAAACTTTGAGTGCTGCATACACAGAGTAGAAACTGAACAAAAGGCTTCCATTTTCCCTGGTTTCCAGACTCCACCGGTTGAAACACTCAGACCCCGGAATCGAAAGAGGAAGCAGAAGAAACTACAGTAGGAAGTGAGCACTGAACTTTCTCATACAACGAAACAGATCTTTGCTGTAGGTTACAGATAGAAAGAAAGACAAGAAAAAGCCTCAGGTGAGTAGTGTGCCGATAGTGAGTGGATTAAGCTTATGGAAAAATTGACTTGAAACGAAGGGTGCACGGACCTGCCACCATTGGTTTCGCTCTCCACTGGCATTGCTATTGGACCCTATTGCCGAGCGATGAAAAGAGGATAAATCAATTCATGCAAATAAGCATCCAAGCAAAACGTAGAAACAGATGTGAAATTATGTGAATTATATAGAGACTCGATCGAACAGAGAAAATGTAAATCACTTATAAATTCAAAAAAGGTATTTGGCAAGTAAAAGAAATTGAAACTTCATCCGCCGGGGTTTTTCCCTGACTAAAGAGTGATCAGCACTTGTCGTGGACGCTTGAATCCATTTATCAAGAAATTCCGGAAATACCGGTTGGGATGTTAATAGAAAGAAAGAGGGCGAAACAGCTGTCTATGGCTACAATCCCTTTCTGTTTTGAGTTCTTTCGGTGTCGTGTTGATGTCTTGCAGAGTTAATTTTCACGTAGTACGATCAGCATTACAGTATTCTGCTTGCAGAATTTAATATGTCTACATTATTATTTTTGCTGATCAGGTCTTTATAGATCCTACGTTCTTCGGCATATTCGTTTGCGGTCCTTTGCAGTCCCTTGTGGTTAATGTTTGTACTTTAATAGAAAACACGTTTTCCGGGCGTTGCACTGGAAAATTCCCGGGAATAAGTGAAATTTTGAAAAGGTAGTCCTGTTTTCCCGGTGGAAATGCATGTTCCATTTACGAGTTTTCACAAGCTTTAAAATTTCACGACAATATCTGTGTTACAATCTTGAATTTTGGTGACGAGAGCATAAACTTCACTCGATGGACCTTTCAGCTATTTAATGTATAACGGCCATTCTAAGCTAAGGCAGCTCCTAAAAGTCTTAAGTTTGCGAAAATCAGTACAAAACATCTGTCAAATTCTCAAGAACTGAAAAAATGAAAAAGTCTTTTACTAGAATTGGTGTGACTATTTTAAATTCTATTCCGCTTTCTGTCTAATTTTCGTAAAAAAATAAAATCACTACTCCTTAATGTTTTAGATAACGAAGATAATTATTTGAATGTTAATCATTTTAAGAAATTAACCTGATACGTAATTAGTTTCAGAGTCTATTTTAGACTGCAAAACAGTCGGTTTTTTTCTCAAAATCAGTAAAGAAATCGGTAAAGCGTGCCGTACGCCCGTAGGGCGTGCGAGGCGAGAGAAAAAAAAACGTATTTTTAGCGTCTCTGCCCAGGTCTCGCTCTCTGTTTTCAGCCTCGTTCCAGACCTTTTGTTTGACTTCTCGCGCGTACTTGAATACGCAAAAATACGGACTGTTTTGCAGTCTAAGTCTACTTTCAAACAAATCGGATTATCCCTGTACTTGAATTGATATGTTAGGTGTTTCTTTCTGTATGTTATTGTATTTCTATTCTTTTCCTTCTCTCTTTACTAGTGTAATTTAATTTAATATCGTCTTTATTTAAAATTTTAAATAAATTTTTTAGATTAGCATAAAAGCTATTTGCGGGACATAAAGTGTTGTAAACTTTATAGTTCTGTAAATGAATACATTGTTGTCGTTGTTGTTGTTTCCATGGGCGTTTCCAAAATTGTTGGTAAATGAAAAACGCACCGTATGACTCCGGCGGACGGGGGAGGGCATTCCCAGGAATTCTTGCTTTTAAAAGTGTACCACCAAGTTCTCTGAATCCTTACCCTGTTTCGGGCCAAAACGTGCCATTTTGCACAGTCGTTCTCAAACTTGTTCTCTCTAAACACATACTTGTTTTCTCACCCGCTGGATTGGGAAAACGTTTCTTCCTTTCCTTGAGTGAGCAAAAATGTGAAACGTCCTCAGCATCAAAGCATAGTGAGAAGCAGGCTATGAAAGCTTGCACGATATCAGGTGCCGCATGTAAGAGCTTAAAATCAGTACCCTTTCAATGTTTTTGGGGGATTAGTGAGAATTAAACATCATTTGGAATAAAGCAGATATACCAGGGATTGATGTCCTTCTCTCTCTCGGTTTAGATTGAAATGGAATCATCTACGTCTGGCGGAGAAAAATGCGCTACTTTCTTTAGTGATCTCGAGGAACAGATCAAGTCTTTGCGAAAGAGTCTGTCTCATGTTTCTGCCTCGGGAGACTCACTGAAATCCTCTTGCGAAGCCAAGTTGACTGAGATCAATGCATTGGTCACTGAGCAGAAAAAGAAATGCAAGGAAAAGTCAGAGAAAATACCCATTGAAAATGTGGGTAAAGCTCTCCAAGCCTCAATAAATGGCATGAAAAAGTTCAAAACAGGTAGCGGGAAACTGGAAATTGCTGAAGGCATTTTGGAGATAATAGCAAGTATGTCAGAGTTAACAGGTGAACCTCATGGTCCTCCATTGAAGGCAGTCTGTGTAATCATCAGTGCTGTTCTTGCTTATAAGAGACCGGGGCAAGCGAGTGTGGTGGATCGACTCGCAAAAGTTGTACACGAGCAACTTGTAAACTTCAACACAAAATTGCAAGACCATAAATACAACGGTTTGAAACGCCGCCTGTCAGACCAGGTTACACAGTTGTGTACGATGAGGTCAGGAGAAAGGCTAGATGATCCCAACCTTTGGAGTGACTTTATTCAGTTCTTAGGTGAGCTGTCAAACAGATTTGAAGCACCCCTGCCATTTCAGTATGACAAAGGATCTCTCACAAAAGATCCTGATTTGGCAGATTTTGTGACAGCTGTGGTGACTTACTGCGAGGCTTACAACTGCTTCATGGCTCTTCTGATGATTGCTAAAGGAACATTTGAAGCCTTGGGGCAGGATTACAAAGACGAACAAGATGTTGTGGATCGAAGAATCAGCTGTCAGCGGAATGATGCTCGAGAAAAACTTACCTTCTTTTCAGATGCAAGATATCTGACATTTCTTGGAAGGATGCCCTATGAAGGAGGAAAACTTACAAAGATCGTCGCTTTAAGCAGAAATATCGAAGGTAAAGGGCTGGTAGAAACAGTCAGAAGAAGCTTAAGCCTGCCGCCAATGCCTGATTCAGCGATTGTTGAATCTGCTGCAGCTAAAGTAGCGGGCCAGTCAGTAAAGTTGCGATTACAAGGACATCACGTACCTCCTGGATATGGCTTTTGGTGGATGAAGGAATATGTCTTGGGTCCCCCCTTTTGGCTTCAGTACGTCAACGAGACAGACTTTCCCATGAAGATTGTTTCCCGCGAGAAAGGTGGGAGTGGTAAATTAAGTTTTATTTACGACGTACAGCCACATTCATCTCGTCCAATAGGCTTTGACAGACCATGGGAGTTCTACTCTTGCGGGTATATTATCATATTTTTGAATGGAAACGTAAGCCATGATTTGAAACCACGGGCAGGAGGCACCAGAGCAATAGAATTTGCTTTCTGCCGCGATTATTTGTGTAGATGTAAGATTAACATTCAGGATAACACTGGCAATGAGTTTACACAAGGGGAAAACGTTTACAACGTTATGAAGTCTGGTGAAGCGAAGACTCTCTACTGGTTTGACCGCGGAATGCACTTTATGGCAAGCGCAGAGATTCGCTGGCCATGGCCAAAGCTAATTTGGCGATTTTTGATTCAGAACTTTGACCCTCTAGCAATACAAGATTGAAGTATATAATATTTGCTTGAGGGGGAGTTTCTTACCAAAGTTTCAGTATGGAGTCCTTATGAACAAAACGTTTAAAAACCAAAGTCAGTGGCGGCTGTTTTTTCTGCAAGAATTAAGAACGAGAATGATTCTTTTTTGCATGCATGAAAACAAATTTTGGTAGTCTAGAGCAAATTTTAACGTTCTTCACTTAACTTGTTCTTTCTTAGAGAGTTGCCTATAGTATGCCGTCTTTGGTAGCAATTGGTCTCAAGATAAAATATCAGTTTGATATGTCTAAAAAAGAACTTCGAAATTTTACAAACTGTGATTTTGAAGGTTAAAAAAGAAGCGAAAGTAACGAGCTTGCCTTCAAACTGGTACAGTCTTAGTTCAAATTGCCAGAAACGAACTGACCCTTAGATAGTTACATTTGAGTGCAGGGTCTCAACTTTGTAAACTCAAGAGGCTCCTGTTACACTATGTTTGAAAATGTTACCCCTTGTTTGACTTGTTTTTCAAAATTGGAGTGTAGCACATAAAGAAGAGCAAAACTGCTCCATATAAGCGTCACATGAATTTTGCATTAAAATATAATTGATTAATATAGCCTTGCAAGAGCCATGTTATTCGCTGGCTAAATAGCCTCATTTTCCAGGTATAACTAACTGTGTAAGAGGGGAAAGGCGAGAATAAAACACTTTCTTGCATGTGAACATATTGACGCGCGTCGGGTGAACACTGAACAACAGCTTGATCTTCTGTGTCATTCTGACTGCGCATTACCCAACCCCCCCCCCCCCGGGACTCGGGGGCGAAATGACCTTTTCTTAAACAGGGCGGGGTAGGAAAAATAGTTCAGGGTTTTTTTATTTAAAGGGGGGTGTTGGAAATTGCATATGTTGCCCATGTATTTTGGCTTTTTCCATATTGTGAAACTTAATAGA